CCCCAAAACCCCAAAACCCCAAAACCCCAAAACCCCAAGATAAAATATTTTTATTGAATATATTTCCTCTACAAAATGAGTCAAAACAAAGATTCTATAGCTCAGTAAGGACCAGATTGGCTATTAAAATTGCCCCTCACGCCACTCATAGCAAATAGCTTAGAAATGATGTCGACTTCTTTTGTTAAAATGCCTATTTTTTATAGTAAGAAAATATATTATTTTATCGTAAAATTCATGCTATTTCTATTGGTTTCTATAAACCAAATACCATACTCATTGATGTAGAGATCTTGAGGAGTTAAGGAAATACAAAATCAACAGCATTAGCCAACGAAAGCTCCCTTCTGTGGAGAAGCCCAGGGATAAACAAATGGCAGTTGAACTTGAAGAAGAAGTTATAAATTTAGAAAGCTCTCTTAAAAGAATCTCTTCCTCATACGCCTTGTTTTGTAAATAAAGAGAAGAAGGTAGGCCACAGGTTTCCATAATAGGAATCAAAGCTCAGACTTAATCCACCAGCTGGGGCATCTCTTGCAGCTCATTTCCAAAAGTAGGTTTATTTATAGCGGTTGGGTGCCAAGATGGGTCTAAAGATGTTTCAGAGATTTTTGGGCAGCCCATTTCAGATCGATTTGGAATAAAAAGATGCTCTTATACTTCTAAACTCCTCGAATTTTAAAGTGGTTATAAAAATAGTCACTTTCTGTTCATTATTTATTCTTTTAATGCAAGTTATAACATGTCTAGAGTTGGCCCCACTTATGGTTAAGCTTCCGGATATTTTCTTACTGTAAAATTATATCATACTCAAATCTGCTCATGGGATTTATGTTATTAGTCAAGTCTCTTTCGTATTAGCTCCAACTATAATAGTCATACTTTATGAATGAAGCTAGAATTCTCAAGCTACAAAAAGAAGCAACTTAAGTCATTAATTTCTAAGTTAAATATTTCAGGCTCTTTCATGAAGACACTTTTCTCCATCGAGATTTCATTTAGGCTTCTTGAGGAAGAATAAGAGCACAGATGCTAGCATTTCTGTTTAATAGGTTCCGTCATGTTCATTATAACTGCTTGCACTTCTATGCCTAATAATATCAATAAGCCAAACATAGGATATTTGAAGAGTTCGAGAAAGCTCGGAAAAGAAAAAGGCCTCCCCCTGCAAGCGATAAAAGTGTTGAAATAGAAGCTAAAAAGAAAAAGGGGCCAAAATTACGTCTAAATATTTTGGATAAAGACACTCGTTTTAAAATTTCACGAAATAAGGCCTCTTACTCAAGTCTTCCCAATGAAACGCCTGAAGGAAAGATTGTAGAGGAGAAGAAACAGTCTCTTGGCCATGCTCTTGAGAATTCAATTAGGAGCAGACTTGGTAAACTCAATGGGAAAGATTTTCTAAACCAGCTTGATCTTCTAAAATAACGATAAAATTTTATCAAGGTAAAATGAAAAGTTTATTCTAGATGTGAGAGACTGAAAAGACCAGCGATTTTAGATAGCATTCAGCACCAATTCAAGCAACATGTTGGAGATTATAAGTAATTTTAAACCAAACCTGCTCTAGTACCCGAATTGATACATTATTAGAAGACCTAGATAGTATGTCTACCCAACGTGTAATCCACGACACTGATCTGATGAAAATAAGTACGGTCTTGTTCACCAATTTAGAGGAGGAAAGGAGTGCTAAATCCAAGGTATGGGCCACTCTAACCATCTAGTCCAAGTATAAATATGAGCTAATGTTCCCTTTCCAAGACGAACGGAAAAAGATAGAAAAAGAACTTGAGTATTCAGACTAGAAACCTTTATAGGAAAACCCATAAAATCAGAAAATACAATTTTGATTACAACAAAGCTCGGAATTGTTTCACAAAAGAGAGTCTCCAAATTGTAAAGGAAGTGACTCAAGAAGTAGTAGAAAAGAATAAACAAAAGAGATCGCAGAAAACCTGTAGTGATTTTTTTAACCACAGATGCCTCCACCAGGATACTTTAACTACCAGAGTTAACACTAAGCCTAAGTCAAGGCGAGCGAACTCTCTTAAGGATGTGAAGGAAATCCCAGTGTTTAGGAAGAGATATAGGATGATTCCTAGCAAATGGGATAAAAATTATCTCGCAAAAATAAGAAGGAAGCTGACTAAAAGCCAGAATTACGAGAAAAATAGGATGAAAGAGATGTTAAACAAGCGCCTTAAGAAGAAAAGTGTAGTAAAATAGACATAATTTCTCAATTTTTAGATTTATCGCGGGGTTTTGGGGTTTTGGGGTTTTGGGG